TACTACTACTACTACTACTATTCCTTAGACTACGAACTACGAGGACGACTGCTACGATGACTATTACTACTGCTGCTCGTACGGCGCTACATTCCTGCTAGAGTCCGCTAGAGCTCATCCTCCACCACTGCCGCTGCCACCACAACTCTTAGTCCTATGCCCAGTCCGCCCACAAGGCTTCCCACTTCTACTGGTGCAACAGGCTCAAATAAGAGTGCTGACTGCTGCACTTCGTGAGGTCATGGATTGTCGAAGAAATAAACCGCCAACCCCATTGCTGCACGACGGCGGCCTGCGCATCATCAGCATCATCATCAACCCCAAAGCTATAAGTTCTAAACCCTACTGACTTCTAACAACACCGTGAAGTCTTATCAACTCATCGGATAAAGCCCAGGCCAACAATCGCAACCCATAACAACGTCATTTTTGTTATCACATTGCCGCCACCGCCACCGCCACCACGATGACTTCTACCATTCCTACTCCTCGTGCCAAAATGACGACCGAACCACTGGTCTGTGATCATGTCAATGTTGCCGGTATGCTGTATCTGCTATGTCAGCTATGTCGTGGCCGATCATGCCCTGACCTCACCATCACCACCAGCACCAGCAGCAGCACCACCAGCAATGCGAACACCACCGCCCCCGCCAGCAGCAGCAGCAGCAGTAGCAGCAGCAGCCGCAGCTGCAGCAGCAGCACAGCAGCAGCAGCAGCAACAGCTGCAGCAGCAGCAGGAGCAGGAGCAAGAGCAAGAGCAGCAATAACAATAATAGCAATACTCATCCTAATAATTCCCGAGGCCCCGGTAGCCTTCTTCTGCATAGCCGACATCTTCCCTGGTGCTGGGTGCCAGGCGGTGCTGAAGAAATCGATGCCAAACCAACCTCGGGCCTCAGAAAATGGGAGCAACAAGTGCGATCCATCGAGGAGACGCCCTAGCTTCAGAACGCCGAGAGATTGGGGCTTGTGGCTCTTAGGGACTTAGTTTTTGTTTCGAACGACCCTTTTCCACTCGCTGTCTTTTTTCCAGGTTTGATTCAAATCTTCAGCTGCTTTCATTTTCCTGCCAATGCCAGAAACCTCAAAATCTGACTGCAGCTAAAAGGCGTAGACAAGGGCGATGGCTCGCCTGCCAAGGGAGCGATTACTTGTGAGGGTTAAGGGCCTCGTTTAAGCTGGAACAAGACTCAGATTAGTATAGGGACTTGAAAAATACAAATCCAGCTATCAAAGCCCCTACAATATGTATGAGCGCCACCGTGACGGCCCTCTCACCGTCTGATGGAGCCTAGCTCTGCGAACCGGCCAAAATTCTTGAACAGATCTAAGTCGAAGTGTTTGAAGTTTCTCAGTCCTGAACCTTGCAGATACTTTTATTTGATCTGAGTCTAGACACAGGCAAGAGACTCTTGCTATTGTGCACTTTGGGGTTTAATGTTTATGCCAGAGGGTCCGGTAGTAGGAGAAGTATCAACCAAGCGACCGACTCGAGTCCAACAAGACATGAAACAAAGCCGCCACGTTGGCAGTTTCAGCTGCAAGCCTTGTTTTCGTTTGTTGAAAACCCTTTAGCCAACTGCTGAAAGCCTTGTAGAGCCCTCTAAATTAAAGTGTCTTTGCGGTTCCTTATTGTACCTGCGCGGGATCTTACATCTACGCAGCAAGCCAGATGGACCCTCTCTTTGGCGGATGGAGGGTGAAGCACATATAGATGCAGGAGGTTAGAGCTTCGGGCTCGGGCTTAGCCCAGCCCCTAAACCTTCAATCAATAAGTACCTTGAAACCGTAGGCGGTAGTCGCTGGAGTTCCGTTTCTCGCCCATGATGAAGATCGGCCTCTGATCTGCCCTTTTGAATTCAACCCTATCCCACCTGTCGCGGATCAACGCATCTGGCCGACTGCCATCATCATCAACTTGGATCGCTGTGTTGAAGTTGGCAACGATGTCGATGCCTGGGTGCCAGTTTGGAGGTTTAGGAATTCACGAGAACCAGGTAAAAGGCTTTCGCCGCAGACAGCGGTGTTCCGGGTTCAACGTGTAGCGCTTATGCATCTGCCCGACGTGACCAGGCAGGGAGCAGTCGGCTCAGGCCAAGATGTTCGACTCAACAGAAAGCAATAGCTGAGAGCTCTTGCTCTCGCAAAGCCACCTAATGCACACCAGCACCCTTTTCTCTTGGGCACAATTGGAACGCCCCGCGAGTAAATGGAAAGGGTGCGAGCAAGCCACTGTCCCACTGTGAGATGTGTTCGTGGCGGCCATGAAAATACAGAGGAAACCAAAAAAGACAATACACCGCGAGAGATGCTGGAGACAGTCAGTAGGGGTGGTGGCGATGACCAGTCACAAATGATGATCTCGAAAACGGTCACGACCATGACATTCGGCGTGTCGCGACTGCACCACAAAGTTTGCTTTCTTTTCATGCTGACCGCCACGATCGTTTGTTGTCTTTTTGCCTGATGATAATTGGAGCACGAGCGGACGGTCACAGAGGTACCTATGATGTGAGCACGTAGAAGTAGAAGCAGCGTGCATCGTGGCCGTCGGGCTGGCGACGGAAATGTGGTCTTGAAGAGCGCCGGGCAGGGAGTCGGTGACTAGTGGGCCTAGTGGGTAGGCGAATGAACCTGTACTGTAAGTAAGTGTGTCATTGCATGAGTCAGTCGCACATGCTGAAGCAAAACGGATTGATTCGGGTTAGCACTCGCCCACGGATCCGTGCGCTCCGTTAAGGCCCCGACCGAAAAGGATCGTTGTCCACCAAAACCAAAATTCGTCGAAGCCGTCCTGCTTGTCATTCCTCAGTCAGTGTCAGGACTGCACACCGCCTCTCAGGAGGGGAAGCTCTTTGGAGTCCACCCCGGGAGACGAACTGAGCACAAAGCCTCTGCTATCGGGCTCTCGAGAATCACCCACAACATGCAGCAGCTGTTTGGACATCAAGACAAAGCAGAAACTTTGCCACCACGTTCAACTTCGCAACTACAGTGGCACCAGCCTGTCTTCCAGGAGGCCCCTCACTGTCCCTTAGCCCAAACGCCTTGCAAGAACGAACTTCCTCTGACATGTGATTTAAAGGAAAGTGTCTTGAACGCGAGCTGGAAGGGGAGGATCAATGCGTCGGCCAGGACAACGAACATGACCTTGCGTGTTGCAGCAGAAGAGTCACCCAAACGGAGAAGCATCACTATGTTAGGTCATGAGAGGAATCGCGTTGCGTCCCATGCCGTACCGCAGCTGCAGCCCAAGTCGCGAAGAAGTCCCAGAATAGCTTTGTACCCCAGCGCGGATCGATCAAGCAGCCTAAGCCAGCAGGACAAGCTCGACTCGACAACCGTCTCAACCTAACAGTGTAGCACTAGTAGCAGCAATTGTCAAGAAATTCGACTGGACGATCGCCACAGTTCGTAGCACCACTGGCAACAAAGGTGATTACATTCGACTGGACTATGCCCACAGGCCACATGGCAGGCACTTCTTTGTGAGCTTCACTCACGAGAAAACATGCCATTGTGCTACACCGAAGGCACCATGGGTTGCGCTGCCGCCACCAGTAGCCTCACGTGTCTGTCATGGCTCGGATATGTTAAAAAGAACCGTCTGGCATTCCCCAGTCATCTGTAAAAGAAACTGCTCCGCAAACGCGGGAGTCATGGATGTCTCTTGCTTGCAGAACAAACCCGACTGAACACAGCGATCTATCCCTTCAGGCCCAGGTCCCCCACAATCATGCAATCCCAAATACTGACCTACATGACTACATCGCTATTACCCTAAATCCGCATACCTGAGGATTAGGTGCTTTGGACCCCGGGGGATGGTGGCACCCTGGAAAATACTGAAGACCCCTTGTGCGGCCATGGACGTCATTCCGAAGATGTCCTCAGATACCAAGAAGCAATGACATGGCTTGGTGCGGGCTTGACAAGCTCGGGGCTCAGGTGCTTGAAAGGCTCTCGAGGCTTGCATAAGACACGGTCTTCTCAAGCATATGCCACTGCCCTACACATTAGATTCTAGATCCTGAAGACCGGCTGGATGAAGCAAACACCAAGGCCTGTGAATCCTCTTCAGGTTTGGGCTACCTGGAATTTCCTTGTCCATGCACTTTGCCACCAGCAGGCCCGCCGTCACACATTCAGCATCTGTCTGGCTAGATGCAGGCAGGCCACCATATCGGCTAGGGCTCTTCGACTCAATGTGTCCTGTTAGGGTGTAGAATGTGGAAGTCGAGAACACACGTGAAGAGGATGGCGCAGGCTTACACGGTGAAGACATCCCGTACATGTGCACAGGAGCCTTTGGGGGCAAGAGCCGTGAGCCGCAGCCTATTCCCGGCCCTCATCTGTGGTGTCGGTGGCTGAGAGGTCACGAACTGCAAAAGATCCACTTCTTACAGTTACAGTCTATGGTGCAGAGTTCAGGGTCCGCTAGTTGCTGCCACTCCAACTTACAAGAAACAACTTCTTTCCGGCTTCGAGAGGGCGAAGCCGAAACCGTGACCGTCCAAACCGCCGGACGTGGGTTGGGA